TACTGTCTTGATCGGAAAATGAGTGTTAGAAGAATAACTACCTTGGAGCATAGATGCAAGGAGTACATAAAGCAGCAAAATGCTTGGCATATCATCAGTGCTCAAATGAATGTTAACTACTATTATTATTGCAAATGAGAGAAGCTTATCAAAATTACAGTATATGGAATCTTTATTTTGCATCAATCAAAGCATATTCACGTTCTCATTTTAGAGCACCAGTAAGAATAGGATAAGACATTATTTGGACAATAGTCATTATTGTAGTGTCTAATAAGTAAAATGTAGTAAATAACAGGGCTCCACCGCGCCGGCCGCCCCGCCCCGCGCTCCCCTCCCGTCTGCTCGGGACAGAAGGACGGTTCCCTCCACTGCAGGTGTCCCACGAGGGCGCTGGGGCCTCTGAAAGAGTCAACAATGGCTACCAGGGGTTACCAGACTCCCTTGTCTGCCAAACTTCCATTTCCCGCAGCACTCAGGACAGGAGCCCTGGCTTCTAGGCAAGCCCGACGTGTTGCCACCTGCGTGGCCTTGGACAGGTCACCACCCTGTTCTGGGTCCCTCACCAGTAAGGCGAGAGATCGTGGGACTGCAGGCCTCTAGGCCTTTGCCTCTAACCGTCTGTAGAATGGACCTATTAGACTTCCTGCCTCTGGGGTTAAGAGGATTAAATGGGATAAAGCACACGGAGGGCAGAATCTGGTGCCTACCCAGCACCCAAAGGTAGTTATAATGAGGTGTGTGTGGGGGGGGAGACTCCTGGGAATCTTTCCTTTTTCTTCGCTGGACCCTGGGGCAGAACCAGGGGAACTGCCCTATGTCCCTCTCCTCCCAGGGGAACTTGGTCTTCCCAGTCCCAAACCTTAGCCTTGTCTGGGTGGACAGAAGAATGGGAAGGGAGGATGCTGGCTACCACCTTCCTGGTTAGGAACTCTGCTGCCAGAAGGAAGTTGTTCTCATTCTATGAAGAGGGTAACTGAGGCTCAGAAAAGGGGTTTGCCCAGGTGCATCCAGGTGGGGGGGTGGAAGGACTTGAGCAGGTTTAGGCTGTAGGTTCCCAGGCCTTCCTCCCCACAGACCTCTGGCTGTCAGGACCGGGAAGGCTCAGGCCTGTGCTGGGGTCTCTGGAGTTTGGGAAGGTGGAGGGCAGGGGTGCCTGGGCCAGGACAGAGCACACCACCTTATCTCTTTCACAATCTGCCAGAGCTGTCCTTAACAGGCTGTGTTCTGCCAGCTGTTAAGGCGCTGGGTTAAACAGCGGCCCTGGGTTTCGATTTGCTCATCCATAAAGTGGGGACGCCCGCCTTAAAGTGGGACATCCAGGAGTTGGGCCAGCCGAAGAGGGTCTGAAGGGAGTCTGGGTTCCTCCCTCTTCCCTCGGGGCTGGTGAGCCCTCCTTCCAGGATGGGAAGATTGAGGCAGGGCGGGCGCGTTTCCAGGACCTTGTCTGAGCAATATCTCCCCACTCCCTCCCTGCAGCCACCCGCGAATCGGCCTTCGTTCACGCCATCGCCTCTGCTGGCGTGGCCTTCGCAGTCACACGCTCCTGTGCCGAGGGCACCTCCACCATCTGCGGCTGCGATTCGCATCATAAGGGGCCGCCCGGCGAGGGCTGGAAGTGGGGCGGATGTAGTGAGGACGCCGACTTCGGGGTGCTCGTGTCCCGGGAGTTTGCGGACGCGCGGGAGAACAGGCCAGATGCGCGCTCAGCCATGAACAAGCACAACAATGAGGCAGGCCGCACGGTGAGCCACTGCCGCCCTCGCCGCAACCCTGCCCGGGGCCCTTCCTGACCCTGTCCCGGACTCTCCTGGGCTGGCCTTGCCCTTGCCCCTGCCCCGCCTTGCGCCTTCCAGCCGTCCTTGTGCCTCCCGGGCTTCCTGCTGTCCTCTTTCCCCTGGGCCAGGCTTGGCCCGCATCCCCACCCGTACCCCACAGTCACTCCTTCTGGTCACCCTCCTTTCTCCTTGGACTGTACCCGGGTCTTGCCTGCCGCGTATGCGTCAGCCTGCGAGCCAGTGCGGGCCCCATAGAGCAGGTACCAGGCAGCCCATCCTGTGAGCTCCTACAGGACTGTGAAGTCCCATGGGCCTGGCTTTGAATTCAGACTCCACTCCTTCCTATGGTTGTTTGACTTAGCGCGAATCGCTTAAGCTCCCGCGCTCAGTTTCTCCATCTGTTGAACGTGGATAACAATCCCTATTTGCTATGGCTTTGAGAAGTGGATGTGATTTCTGCCAATGCTTGGAGTGTGAAGGGGAGGGGAACAGTGGTCAGCATTCTTTTGGTCCATGCCTCTGTCCCCCCATCGGTTCTCATCCTGGCCCAGTGTAGGAATAGAGAAGGCTCTAGGGATGGGGGTGGGCAGAGGCGGAGCCGGAGGGTCTAGGTGTGTTCCCAGGTGGGATCAGTCTGGGGGCCAGCTGCTACTCCTCTTCCCCAGACCATCCTGGACCACATGCACCTCAAGTGCAAGTGTCACGGGCTGTCGGGCAGCTGCGAGGTGAAGACTTGCTGGTGGGCCCAGCCCGACTTCCGTGCCATCGGTGACTTCCTCAAGGACAAGTACGACAGCGCCTCTGAGATGGTGGTGGAGAAGCACCGTGAGTCCCGCGGCTGGGTGGAGACGCTCCGTGCCAAGTACGCCCTCTTCAAGCCACCCACCGAGAGGGACCTGGTCTACTATGAGAACTCCCCCAACTTTTGCGAGCCCAACCCTGAGACGGGCTCCTTTGGCACCAGGGACCGGACTTGCAATGTCACCTCCCACGGCATCGATGGCTGTGACCTGCTCTGCTGCGGCCGCGGCCACAACACGAGGACGGAGAAGCGGAAGGAGAAATGCCACTGCATCTTCCACTGGTGCTGCTATGTGAGCTGCCAGGAGTGCATCCGCATCTACGACGTGCACACCTGCAAGTAGGGAGCCAGGTAGGGTGGCGGGGTGGGGAAGCTGGGGGGCCTTGGTGCAGGGAACTGGGTTTGCCCATCTCTTCCTGATGACTCCATTCTATGTCTGAGCAACCCAAGAGGCAAGTTCCCACAGCCAAACTAGGAAGCCAGGATTTCCCAAGCTTAGGTGGGAATAGTCCTTGGTAGGCTATACAGAGCACAGGTAATAACCCAGTGTATGCATATGAGGCTGCAAGCAAGTGATGAAAATTCTTGTCCAAGTCAGTCAGTTATGAGCCAGGTCACATTTTTGCACAGCCGCTTGTTCTCATTTTTGAGCATCTGTGGAGCCAGAGGGACACTGTGGGGTTGGAGGCTGGGGCACCTTACTTCTGGTCCCAACTTTGCGCCTAACTTCTTGTTCTTTCAATTCTCTGGGCCTCAGTTTTCTTGTTGTAAAATAAAGGGGTTAAAATATTTGAAACCGTAGGCTGAAAAGTCTCTTCTACCCCTGGAGCAGAGTCATTGTGCATCCATCTAGAACTTAGAGGACAAGTTTTTGAACAAGCATAAATCCTACCAACCTCAAGGAGGTGGGTGGGGGGAAGCGGTGTATAAGCCCATATCCTGACAGATCTGAAGCTTGGGTGGAGTGGGGTGCACTCTCACTGAGTTTATGGATGGTGATGGGGAGGAGGAAGGAGTCAAGTTCAGAGTGATGGTGATGAGTAATCAAGGGATCAAAGGCTGGTGGATTATGTTGCCAAGCTTCCCAGAGGTGGCCAGCGTGGGAGACACTGTACCTGGCTCTCAGATCCAAAGGTCTCCAGGATAGGTCAAAATTGACGTGGTTCTAGGGTGGTCCTAGTCTTGAAGGTGGAAGGTTTCTGAGGCCCATGTGCCCTTTCTCCCTTTTCTCTGCCCTAAGAGGGAGCCTGACATACAGAGGCATGAACCTTGGTGCAGCTTCCACCACTTACCAACCATGAGACCCAGACAAGATGGTCTTCGCACACTTGTCTCCTCATCTGTCATCCTCCCTAGAGATGCTGTGAGAAACAAAGGAAAAAGCACTGAGGACAGTGCTTGGTTCATGGCAAAAGACTTGCTTGCCTGGGTCACTGGCTGGGGCTGTGTTGGGGAGAGCAGCCCACTGGGTCATGCAGTTCTACACAGGGCACCTTGGAGCTGGGGCGCACGTCTGTGCTGTACGGGGGTGGGGGTGAACCTGACATCACGGGCAGAGTTCTGGTTGAGGGGTGCCTCACCCAGCCCATCTGGGGAGCCCCTCTGTGTAGCTTGTTAGATCCCAGCAGGGACAGAGTCTAGGAATGCAGGAGGAGGCACCACCTTTCCTGGTGTCTGAATAAAAGCAGTGTGGTGAGTAGAAAGAGGACGAGGTGGTTCCCACCCCGCCGCTTACCAGCCGTGGGACCCTGAAGCCCAGTTTCCTCATCTGTGCAGAGGTGGTGGTGGTACTGGGAACCTGGCAGAATTTTTATGAGGCTTAAGTGAGCCAACAGTTGTACATGCTTGTCTGAATGTAGTACTAACAGAAAGTGTGATAAATGCCATCAGGGAGCTGTGACGTGAGACAGTCGTGGTGCAGTGAAATGGTGTCCTCGCTTGGGCAGTTTCATTTACTAACTTTTAAAATGTTATAAGAAAAGTCAGCAAATGAGAAGAAGCTCACCGGCTCATTATGGGCTGATGAGTTGGAAGGAATGTTTGAAAGTACAGTGGCCACCTTCCTCTGATGTCCACTGTGGCCAGAGACAACGGTGTCCCCACTTACCAGCAGGACATGGCTCTGACCATTCTGAGAGGGGCTGTGGGGGAACCAGAGTTCTAGAACACTCACAGCGGGCAGAGGGCCATGCGTCTAGCCTGCCCATTGCACAGATAGGGACACTGAGCCCAGAAAGCCCTTATGTGAGTCCTACAGAGGCCCCATCAGTGGCTCTGAGGGGACCTAGGGTATCGCAGCCCTCATCTCCCCATTTCTGAAATAGAATCGTGTTTTTCCAGTCTCACGGAAAGTGCTACACAGACGTGGTTTCAAGACGCCACGAGGCCCTCGCTCTGGGACATGTGGAGAATTTGCTCCCATGGGGTGCCCTTTTGGTAAATACGCAACTTGTTGAGTGATTTTGGGCAAGATGTTTTGCCTCTCCGAGCCCTAGTTTCCTCATTTGCAAATTGGGGATAGGTAAGGACCATGTCCCTTGCAGGGACTGGAGGCTGTGACACCAAGGGCCCTGGCACAGGGTTCAGGTGCTTTTGAGGAGGGAGTAAAGATTCCTGGGCCGGACTGATCCCCAAGGGCGACTTTGCCGCAGGCATGCTGCTTGGTCCGTGGCCACAGGCTGTCCTTTCATCTACACTGACATGCTGCAGGCAAAATGAGAACTCTCGAGACAGGCTGGCAGGGACCACATGGGGCAGAGCCTCTAGCATTTCTCTTGGCGACCCTGGGTGCCTCAACAGCCAAGGTAGGAGAGAGAAGGGAGCCGCAGGGCAGGACACTGAGGGCAGGAAGGAGCCCCCGTTAAAATGGCTTTATGCCACAGGAAGGCCAGACTCTGGCCCTTTCTTCCATCACCCGTAGCTTTTGTCCAGTGTCTCAGACTAACCACTGATTTCCTACTGTACAAATATCAGGTTTGTTCTTTATTCAGATGTTAGGAGCACCCTATGCTGCAAAGGGCTCTGAACGAGAGTCAGGTGGCCTGGCTGACCCTGGATGCTGGGTCTGTCACTAATTTGTTGTGAGACTTTGGACATGTCCCTTGAATCGTGCCGAGTGTGTTTCTGCCCCTGTGAGACCGTCTTACAAGGGCCCTGTCAGCCCCCGAGGAGCAAAGGTTGATTAGGAATGTCCAGAAAGCCTGGGCTGCAAATCCTTTGAGATGCAAATATATACAATGAATAAAATATACAAACACACTGGTGTCCCATGTTTGGACAGCTCGTTATGAAACGATCCGGTATGACACAAAAACACAGGGCCCAGGAGTCTGCTGAGCTGCCAGGTTCCTCCCAGTCTCTATACAAAAGGGATTCCTTCATTAGTGCAGTTACCTGCTACTGTGCTTCCTGTCACCCGCACCCTCAGCTAGAAGGTGGGGGAGGTGAAGTTTGGACCACTCACCCCAGTCTGTGGACACTAAAGCTCTACTGTTCCTGCGGAACCACAAGCCCTTCCTCAGTGATGGACCCTAAGTATAGGAAGGGGCATGGAAAAGCCACTCGAATTTCCTCCCCAATACCTCCAAGTACCAAAGAAACATTGAGATCTGTCAGCAGCCTCTGATCTTTGCACCCTTATGGGTGGTCTCCCTGGGAAAGCAATTACATTTCTAATTCTTCTTCTTTATTTCCAAAGGGCATTGGGAACGGGTGAAGTGTGTGGCTGGGCAGATTCACTGAAGTCCTGTGGAGAGCAGTACCTAAGCCAGGCTCGGCTCTCAGCATCAGACAGCAAGGAATCCAGACTGTTGCCAGATGCACGTGTGGTAAATTACCTGGACCCAACCCGCCTGCTGACTGGGAGGCCTCCCTCCCTCTCTCTCATCTTAAGTTTCTCACCCTACGCTGGATGGTGTGTGGTTTTTAAAGAAGGGGCTTTCTTTTTAGTTCTCTGGGGTCTGATAGAACAGACCCGAGGCTTATCTTTGCACATGTTAAAGAAAATAAAAATGGAAAAAAATTTCTACTTCAACAGATCAGGCTGGGCTAATGTGAGCTCTTTGCCTGGTGGTTAAGACATCAGCACGGGCAAGATTCTATCTCCAAACTGCTTCTCGTGGTGACATTCCAAGATGCCTGTGAGGCGGGAGTTATGAAGTAGGACAAACCCCTGCAGCCTCCTTTTCTCTATCTATTCCCATTCAAACCTGATACACTTTCACGTCCTGATAAAAGCCATAGGTTTAGCTAGGATAAAGTGGTTGGGAGGCCCAAGGCAATTGTTAAGTAGGGTTTTGAGTTTTGAAGGTCTAGGAGTTCTAGGTGACCTGGTAAGCTGTTTGAAGAGCAGCTAAGTGTTCTTCTCAGCCTCCTTTTCTCTGTAACCCTGTTCTGTATGAGAGGCTCTTGTGAACTGCAGTCAGATCTCACAATCTTTTTCTACCATCTGCAGTTTCCACCATTAATGCAGTACTTTTTTTGTTTTTTGTTTTTGTAGTGGACGTTGTAAATAGGTTATGTATGGGGGAGGGGCCAAAACTTCTCCAGCCCAAATAGCTTCTTATAGAAATGAGTGGTATCTTTGGAAGGGGCCATTCAATCCCTCCCAGCCCTGCTCACCTGCAGATTCTCCATCAAAACAAAGCTAGGTAGCGCAGGTGGGCTCTAGGTCACCTTAGTATAAATTAGACAAAAGGTCAGTGAGAGAGTAGCAATCTGTTTCAGAAATTCCCATTTTGAGACTAGTAGATGGGGGATGTTAAAAATCGATTCCTCTGTTCCTCTCCAGTAAGGGCCTGTCTTCCTGCATCCTTCTCTTGCTTGTTCTGTGTAAGTAAACTGAAATGTGGAGTTCCTTGACACAGATCTTCCGGCCTCACCTGCATGCTGATAGCATCAGTCCATGCAGTTACCGAGGATCAGGATTAGGTGTTCAAAGGGGGACAAGCAGTCACCTGCTCCCTCGGGAAAAGCACCTCACAGCTGCGTTCTCCTTGATCCACACTGGTCCTCTAGAGTGTCCTACTGGAAGCTAGCAAACGGAGGCAAACGGATTTGACGGTGTGAACCAATCCAACAACTCTGTCTTAAGGAGAATCAGAAAGAGATACAGCGGGGGTAGAGAACAGAACAAAATTTTCCCTTCCTTTTCTCCCTTCCCTCGCTGGTCTCCCTAACTCTGACTTAAGATCCTGGGTCAAGCGATCTTCCTGCTTGCTCAGGCAGGTTTGCCAAGACGGTCATCTAGAAGCCATGCCTGCCCTCTTGAATCTGCTAGCAACGAGCCCTGCTAAAGATCCACATCCCCGCCATAGAATCTGAAATGCCCCTCCTCATCTCTCCTTAGACGGAAAAGTTTTAAATCACATCAACCGGATAATGCTTGCTTTATGTGAGAATTATTTCAGCAGAATGGATACAAATTTTCAAAACAGTCTTTTCATATCTATGTATTCTATATTAAAAGTGATAAAGTCATGTTTCTGGGGGCGTATTCAAGTAGCTGACAAGTAATTATTTAGTCTGTGCTGCCGAAGCGAGCGCAAGTAATTATTTAATAATAGTACATTGAGTGCATTGTAATCATTCTCGCCGTAGTCAGGTAATAGTATCCAATGGAAATTTCCTACCAACCTGCTGTATCCAAAGTTTTGTAAAAAGTTGTAGAAGTTGTTGATCTTTTTGATTTTATATTCAAAAAGTCTCTTTTTATAAATATTATTTATTATACAATGTATATACCTTTGAGTTAACTAAGATTATATATTATATAAATATATATATATATTTGGAGAAAATATATTTCATCATGCAGTTTTTTTCTGTTAAGTCATTAAAGAGAAGGTAAACAAACTTAAAATGGATACATTGTACAATGTGTGGAGTTTCCAGATTAATGCTCAGCAGGTCGAGAATCCCAGGTTCCGAGTGTGGTAGCCGCTACTTTCACTCTTAAATTAGTGGCCCAAATTAAGGTCGTTTCCTCTGTTCTCTAAACCAGATCATCTGAGACGTCACGGGCAGGAGGTCTGATCTACTCTAGGACTTTCTTACAGGCTTACTTTGTTCTAAATCAACTTCTAACAAAGGATTTCCAGTTTTAGAAATAAGTGACATAGGCAGTAATTCATTCCTAGGCTCCAGCACTCCCGATACACGAATTAATGTCACTGACACTCAGAGATGTGGCTACAGGCCAACAGACATCGATGCTGACCACTGACTTAATCCCTTCCTCAACTCCACTTACTGGGAAAATAGGATTTGCTCTACTGAAAATGAAACTTGACTGGAAATGGCTCTCCCCTGCTCGCTCCACTTGAGAGCTGAGCTGCAGAAGGGGTAGGTTGGCTGGGAAGAATAAACGGTGTGTCCCGAGCTCTGGGATGTCTAGAACAAGTGTCACATGAGGTTGTAGACTGGTCTGGGCAGAAAGGACCCGCCAGTGGGCATGCTCTGGGGACAGGAATTCTCCCCTTGGACTGCTGCTTCGGAAGGGCTCGCCTGAAGCTCACAAGTAATGCCTTCTCAACAGTGAGATGCTGTTAACTCAGTGTTATGACAACAGACATAAAGCGTCTCCAGACCTACCCATAAATTGTCATCTTTGGTTTATTTGGCACAGAGAAAATGTTTTCTTTTTCTTGCTTTCTCCTGATTTACCTCTATTAGAAACAAATCTTATTCATCTCATTTCATAGACCAAGAAAAAAACAAAAAACCAAAAATAAAGCGGTCCACCTTGTGCCATGCGGATGGACTGCTTGTGCTCCATTCAGACCTCTAGTCTTAGGTTACAAATGGCTACTAGAAGCTCGTGAACTTTATTTTGCCCATGACGTGTCTTTACTTAGTCCCTGAAAAGCTTAAACCACAAAAACGGTTGTTTCAGCTGCGCAATCACTCGGACATGGAAAGTATACAGGTCTAGCTCCTGCAGTGTCACACATCTTGTATTTCTTTTACATGAAGCTAATGCTCATCTATCCCAGCATTCTGGGTACTTTTTTTTAACCTATAAGATGGCCGAATATTTAAATGGTTCCCACTAATACTTACCAAGGCCATCTGTAATCCCGATTAATCATATGCTATAAATAAAGAGAATACAGTTTATAGCAGTGCTTGAACATTTAGTTCCTCCATAAGCATATTAGTGAATATCTAAAAACAGGAGTTAAAAAAAAAAAATCCAAAAGAAAGAAGAGAGACAATATACCAAGAAGATCTCTTGCAAAGCGGCATTATTTTATGAAGAAAGGGAAGGAAAGTGTGTGAGAGAGCTCGAGGATGAGGATGAAATGCGAATAAAGGAAAGAGGGTAAGGAAAAGGCAGAGCGATGCGCGGGGAGAAGCGGTGGTGAGATGCTGCTGGGTGTATCCGGCGACGGTGTCCAGTGATTCAACGCCACCCTTGGGCCTCTGGACATGTACGCGCGTGGCTGATGCACACGCACCAAACGATGGCTGCTGCACAGTCAGCTTTTCTCCTAGCTTAACAGAGAACTTTCTAAGAGGCAAAAAAAAAATTATCTAACCATTAATCTTAAACTCCCAAATGAGTGGGGCGAAGTCAGATGTGTGGAGACTATAGGCTGGGACAGTTTCAAACATGAATCCTTGCAAATTCGATCTTCCCTACTCGGGAATCCTGCCCATCACAGGCGCCACTATCTCCTGCATCTTCATGCTGTGGTGTCCATACACACACCCTCCACGGGCCCAGCTCCAAGGCCCGGTCTCGGCACTGCTTGCCAGCTGATGAGAAACTTCAGATCATTTTGCAATAACTTCTGAAATTTACATGCTTTTTTGAACTCTCATACACACCTTTCCCCGTCACTGCTTTGAATCAGAGGCTTATGGATCAAGTTGCCAGGCAAGGAAAATGAAATCTTGCCTTTACCTTCTGTGTTTGGGCTGGGTTGGCTGTTTAGAGCTGACTCAATGCTTCCATAAGTCTGTTTACTGGGATTTGATTATGATACACACCTGAATCTGT